AACATTGCTACTGATAGCTCAAATGACTGAAAGTGTTAATCATTTTGGAAACTATATATGTATACATACACACACACACACACACACACACACACACATCCTTAAAACCATATGTTGAAAGACAAATTCATTAAACTAAAAATTAGACTTTTCCAAGAAGCAAAGCTAGTTCATTATGTAAGTGCTCACTTTATCATGGTTATGATCCTGGTATATAGTCATTAGCCTTTCTTGAACTCTTAGAAGTGGATATGACTGAGACCAAGGACCACCCTTAGAGAACCACTTCTGGAGAGAACTTTGTCTCAAATGTTTAGCATCTTGAGACTGATGGGGGCACCTGTCCCAAACAAGACAATCCAGCACCTATTCAGACTGGCTCCTACGCAGCTGCCTAAGTCATGGCCATCCACCACTGCTTCCCATCCTAAAGAGAGTCCTGCTGTCCTGAAAACACAGCTGAGCTCCCTGCTTTGTTGAGAATACTGACTATACTGACTGCCAGTGAAACCTTTGAGTGAGAAAACTATCGGATTTTCCCAGGTGGTGTGTCTGCCCTGTCTTTCATTTCTCTAACACACACACACACACACACACACATCATGATCAAGCAGGTGATAGCAACAAAAATTCATACTAAACATATTCTCAATTATTAAATAATAGAAGAATTTTTTACATCAGGAAAACGAAAAGAGTATCAACTGTCACCCTCCTCTTCAACACTGTAGATGGAGGTTCTGGCCAGTACAGAAGACGTAAAAAGAAAACAAAGTTTACGTTTTCACTAAAAGGCAACCTGCCAGGCAATTTCACTGGGAGACCAACAATATCAGCATCTTTAGATGTCTCCTCTTGAGCTGGCCAGATTTTCAAAAAAGAGCATTCCAAACAGCTGACACGAAGAGCAAAGATGGGCAGAGATCCCACCTCTCGGTGTCGATGACCACCAATCCTCTTCTTTCCACTGCTTCTCAGAACCTTCAAATTTGCTCTCCTTCTCTAGTTCCAAGATCCTCTCTTCACTTTAATAATCAACTCCGGCTTGGACAGAGGAGGGCAGTGGATCAGTGTCCTGCTCAAACCACTGTCACCATCCCCCTTCACGTGATGGCCTCCCCTCCTCTCCAATTCCAGAGGGACTTGTCAGTGCTGAGTCCTCCATTTTTTGAAGATTCTGCTATATAAATTGTGATACTTCCAATTGCTCCATTGCAGCAGTGGACTAGAGCACCCCTGGGCTGCCGAATAATGTTCCATTCTGTGAAGAAGCTCACCATCCCCCTTCACGTGATGGCCTCCCCTCCTCACCAGTTCCAGAGGGACTTGTCAGTGCTGGGTCCTCCATTTTTTGAAGATTCTGCAATATAAATCGTGATACTTCCATTGCTCCATTGCAGCAGTGGACTAGAGCACACTTGGGCTGCCAAATAATGTTCCATTCTTTGAAGAAGGAGTTCGTCCATCCTCTTTCCTGGACTCTCTCCAGGTGTTTGCTATTGTGAACATTCTTGCACATGTCTCCTGGGACCCATGTGGAAAATCTTCTTTTTGGAAAAGACTTTTACGAGGCAAGGCCAAACTTTTTCAAAATGGTTTCACTGATGACAGAAACATCAGCAATGTGAAAGAGATCCTGAATTTCCATGCCTTCTCCAACACTCCATACTTGGACTAGACTGATGTTAACACCCAGCCCCTGGGTATAGTTTGATGTGGGTTAGCGGGTAAAATACAGTGATAAGTAGAACTCGTTCTCTCTCCACACTCTGCATGACGAAATTCTTTGCGTGCATGTTCACGTGCATTTTTGGAGGTTCTCCCTGACACAACTGAAGTAAACTTACGGACACACGTGTGAATTTCCTTCCAGAGTAACTAAAAATTCAATTCCCAGATTTTTTTTAAAAGTAAAATTGAGGCCTCTGGGACTTGTAGTCCCGCGGGTGGTGGCTGAGCGCAGTGCTTTCTGGTATCTGTAGTCTCAGGCGCGATTTGCGCAGGCGGAAGGCGGAAGTCGAGCCGCGTGGACCTTTGTCTTGGTGGATTGCCGCGGCGTTCCAGGCAGCAGTGTCGGACGTGTCGGTGACCTTCACCTGGGAGAAGCGGAGGCAGCTAGACCAGGCCCAGAGGACCCTGTTCTGGGAAGTAACTCTGGACACCTGCAGACTCTTGTTCTCACTCAGGCTTGCGGTTCCCAAAACAGAGTTGATCTAACAGCCGAAGCACAGGTAAGAGTCAAGGAAGGGAGGCCTTTGCTGAAGAACCTGTCCAACTGACAAGTGAAATCCGAGACCAGCCAGCTTTGTCTTATGGAGCTTTGCTCCAGAGAAGACTGACTCAGAGAACCAGAATGTCCTCCCGGTTGTTGGAAATGCAGGAAGTGCATGTGAGACCAGTTACGGACCCCTACAAGGAGACACTCCTTAGGAAGATGAGTGTTGAACACAGTGGCTGTGGTACAGATGATAGTCTGCCCACAAGGGCTTTACAGAAGCAAAACTTTGCAGGAGATGCATTCCCTGAACGTGACTCACAGGGACCAAATAGAGACACCTTGGTTCATGCAAGGAAGACCCTCCACAGATGCAAAGAATGCGGGAAAGTGTTTAATAAGAATTGCCTCCTTGTTCGACATCAGCAGATTCACACTGGAGTGAGGCCTTATGAATGCCAGGAGTGTGGAAAAGCCTTTCGTGAAAAGATAGACTTTGTTCGGCACACAAGGATTCACACTGGGGAGAAGCCCTATAAGTGTGTGGAGTGTGAGAAGGTCTTCAACCGCAAATCACACCTCACGTGCCACCAGCGGATTCACACTGGTGAGAAGCCCTATGAGTGCAGTGAATGTGGAAAAAGCTTTAACTACCACTCTGTTTTTGTCCTGCATCATATGACCCACACTGGAGAAAAACCCTTTGGGTGTGAAGAATGTGGAAAAGCCTTTCACTACAACTCTTCCTTAACTCGACACATGAAGGTTCACACTGGAGAGAAACCCTACAGTTGCAGTGAATGCGGAAAGACCTTCACCTACCACTCTGTGTTTTTCCGACATAGTTTGACCCATGCTGCACGAAAGCCCTACGAGTGTAAAGAATGTGGGAAAGGTTTTTTCTACAGCTATTCCCTCACTAGACACACACGGAGTCACACTGGAGAGAAGCCCTATGAATGCAGTGAATGTGGAAAGACTTTTGCCTACTATTCTGCTGCTGTCCGGCATAGTAAGATCCACACTAGAGAAAAAAACCTTTGAGAGTAAATAATGTGAGAAACCCTTTTTGTGGTGGCTTTCCTCCCCTTGATACTTGAGAAATTGTGCTGGAGAGAAGCACTCTGAAGACAGTAAACTTTGGAGAGCCTTCGGCTACTGCTCATCCCCCACCAGCATTGGAGAGTTAATGCTGGAGAGAAACTGTGAGTAAAAGATAGGTGGGAAGCCCTTTTGCACGTGAGCCTACCTCAGTTAACATCAGAGAACTTATACTGGGAAAAGACCTTTTGATTATACTACCAAGAAAAATCTTTTGGCCACGGGAAATGTCTTATTTGGCATCTGAGAATTCATCCAGGAGAGAGACCTCTGGGTTATTGTGCACTTAGAAGAAACTTCAGCCACAACTCTCTCCATAGGTTATGTCACTAAGCCATCTCAGGAATATTGTAAGAAGAATAAGAGGGTGCTGTACAAGGGAAAAAAAGAAATGCATGCACAGCTTCTTTCACACTTCTCTGAAAGCCAAGCCTATGAAAATATGAATATGTTTCTCTATTTGGGGACATCTGAAAGGTAAAAGGGCCTTGTCTTTTTATATGTCATACTTGATATATATAAATCTCACATGTATATATTCTGTCTAGTGACTGCAGAGTTGGACAGGTGAGGGCAACTGTATAAAGATTTATTGAAAGCACTCTTTGTTCCAAAACATTGTCTGTAGTCTTGAGGAGCATAAGTCTTTGTGAGAAATCTGCAGGATTAAGTCACAGAATACTGAAATTTGTAAGAAATTAGGTTATTAACAATACTGCCACATAAAATTATTTTAGATTTAAGGAGAGAAGGATTCACATGTGGATGGGCACGTTTTACTGCATTATTTAGGACTTAAAGACTTCAATTTTTTTAAATCTCTTTCTTCATGTGGTTGTGGACACCCAGCAGTCATTGTTTTATTGACTTCGATATGCTCGTTTGTTTTGCTTTGTTTTCTCAGGGACATGGGGATGATTGTGTAGCTGTGTGGCTTTCCCAGGTGATCCTTAATTCTTTCCTCTGTGGCTTCTCAGCTTCTTTAGTCCCCTGTACAGGGACTTCTTCACACCATATCAGTAGTTGCTTAGAGGATAAACTAGAGCTAAAACAAACTAAAATACAGCTAATTTAAACTAATGGAAAACTTTCAAGAAAAAATTTTAAATTTTAAAAAATGAACACTGCATTAAAATGTAAAACCTGTTTTATATTTGACATGTTAATTCAGTTTCTAGAAATCTAGCTTAGAAAAATATTCTCACAAATGTGCAGAGATGTGTATAAAAATAATCACTTCAATTTTGTTCTTCTGTATGAAACACTGAAAACAACCTAAATGTCTATCAGTAAGGAAATAAATTATGTTAACATCTGTTTTATGAAAAACTATGAAACCGTTATCTCTGTATGTGCATGTTAAAATATCTCCCAGATATAGTGTTAGGTAGAAGAGCAAATTGCAGGAAATCTAGATCTGGAAGGATGAATAGAACACTTAATAATGGCCCTCTACAGGGAATGGGATGAACCAGGGTGTAAGGAACTTACAATGTCTACTTTATATACTTCAGTATCGTTTGCACTTTTTAAAATAAAGAGCATGTATTATTTTTGCAATAAATGTTTCAAATATTTTAATAAAAAAAACTGTTACCTTGGAATAAAAGTGACTCCTGTTATTTCCCGTAAAGCATGAATTTTACAGGATTTTCAATGTCCTGGCGTTATTATGTCTTTAAAAAAATGAGGTCTAGGATTAGAGATATTTTAGCCACACTTAATAAATAAGGTCGTTTTAAAATGAGTCAACATATATGTAGCATAGATACATGTAAAAAATGAGAGTTCAGTATAGACACTCCTCAATGAACATTTATTTCCTTTAAAATCCTAGTAACATAAATGCCTTTTTGCAAGTGCTTAGGTCTTAGGTGTCAGATTTTTATTTCCTTGGAGCTGATCACAAGGAAAGGGTTTGATTGCTGTTAATGTCGATGTATTGTGTGTACACATACACACGTTTGCTGGGCACAGCTGATTTCTAAAGTTTGCTGCTGAATGAATGCAGTTTGGTTATACTGGATTTACTTTCAGACTTCATAATATATGTTAGCTTCTGAATGAAGAGAAGCTTAGCTGCTTTTCCCCAATATAATATTCATGCCAAGCAATCAGACCTGTTTTCAAGTAAAGAAAATAAGTTGGATATCCACTTATTATACCTTAGCATTTGCCTCTGTTCTCCCCACAACATATGTGAATATTTGCTAACATTATTTCATTGGGAATCATATACCATCAGAAATATTTTCCCTATTTGGAAATAAACAAGGAGTGGGATTTTCACACAAGCAAACCCGTAAACCACAGGTAAAACCCTGTTTGGGTATTTCATTTGTAGTAGTTTGCCCAATTTTGTGAGTTTTCTTTTTTTGCAATAGAAGTTGATAACTGTGTTGTGATATAAGTAAACTCCGCCCATTTGGGGTCAGTTCCTGAAAGTGGACTGTGAAAGAGAAGAAGACCTTACTAGCTTAGGAGAATGTCTTAGCTCAGAATACTATAACAGATACTATAAACTGGGTGGCTTATAAACAAATTTATTTCTCACAGTTCTGGAGGCTAGAAAGTTCAAGATCAAGGCGAGAAATTTATTTCTCACAGTTCTGGAGGCTAGAAAGCTCAAGATCAAGGCACTAGCAGATTGAGTGGTTTGTAGGTGACCATCTTCTCACTGTGTATTCACATGGTGGAAGGGACAAGGGAGCTCTCTGGGATCTCTTTTATAAGGGTATTAATCTCATTCATTAGGGCTCCATTCTATGACCTAGTCACCTCCCAAAGACCTCACCTCCAAATGCCATTACACTGGGGATAAGTGTTCAACATGTGAATTTTGGAGAGACACAGCCTATAGCAAAGGAGAAAATATCACCTTAAGATCTCTTTTCTGTGAGAGTCTTTGAGTAGTTTCCTGGGTCATATAAGTGTAGGCTAAGCATGTTTTGGAAAAAGTGTCCAATTCGATTTAAGGGACATTGGAACTCTTGGAAGATGCTGAACTTCATGATAATAAGGCATGTGGGACATGTGAGCCATCAAATGGCTAATTGGAAAAACAGGAGGGGAAATGTCCATATCTAAATTCCAAGTTTGTGGGACAATTCATTTCAGTTACAGGTGAAAAGGTGTTTTCTTAAGGTTAATAAAATCTAGGCCCTTTGGAGATGTAATTCTTTATGTATTACATTTGGCTTGTTAACTATTTTCAGTGAAGAACTTTGTCTACCTCTCCTTAAATTTCCATTGATGCTATTAAGAAGTCAGCTATCAGCTTATTATTCCTTTATAGGTTATTTTTCTTTTCTTTGTAGCTTCTTTAAAGATCGATTTATCTTTTGATATATTTTATAACTTCAATAATTTCAATATGGTGTGTCTAGATGTGGCTTGCTAATTTATCATGCTTGGTATTTATAAAGATTTCGGAATTTAAGGATTCCTGTATTTCATCAGTTCTGGAAATTTTTCATTTGTTATAACTTTGGATATAGATCTCTCCCATTATCTATCTCTATTATTACTTTCTGTAATTCCAATTAGATGTTTATTGTACCTTCTTACTTTATCTTCCCTTTCTTTTACCTCCCATATTTTTAATCTCTTTGTTTCTCCATGCTTTGAGAGTAATTATTTCATATCTATCTTCGAGTTTATTAATTCTGTTTTCACCCATGCAACTTAAATTTTTAAATGCCACTGGTTGTGTTTTTCATTTATACAAGTTCTCATTGGTTCTTTTTTTAAAAAATATATTTTTGGCAATTTCCTATACTGTCAATACTTCTTTATATATATATATTTTGTATTCAATATTTCTAGTATCTAAAGTTTATAAAGTTCTAATTCTGCTTCTTGGTGTTTCTCTTGATTTCTTCTCATGACATCTTATTTCCTCATTTGTTTTGTGATTTTTAATTATGAGCTAATGTTAATTGGAATTATATCTGTAGAAAATCTTTGAGACCTGAAATCAAGGTGCATGCCTTCAGAGAAAATTTATATGTGCTCCTATCAGGCACCTGGAAGAACTACCCGACTCAGACAATTTTGAATTCTCAACTTGAGATTTCTCAGCTCATATCAGTAATGGAAATTCTAACCTTAAAGCCAATGAGAGTGACTCATGGTTATGAATTTATCAGGAGAACTCTATCCTTCTTAACATCCTAAGGCTAGGACAGGCAGTTGTATTTACTGGGCTTCCTTTGAGGGGCACTTTTTCCTCCTATTTTCTCTTTTCACCAAGAATGTCACTTTTGGGGAGTAGTAGCATTAAGCAAGAGTCTTTGATCCTGTTTCCTACCTTGCTCCCAAATGTAGTTTTCTCTGATTTGTACTTCCTTGTCATTTTTGACCTCTAGGAATTTTCCTTTCTTGCCAATAAACTATGCATTTTTCAAATATATAATTTCTCCAATTTTACATTATTTTTAGGTGCTTTGTAACAGAAGAAATTTTTTTTTAATATCCAGTATTCCATACCAGAAATTCTAGTTTTCATTTAGTTAGGTTTCCCCAGCCTTTTGAATTTATAAAACAGTTAATTTTAACAAAAAAAAAAAAAAAGAATTAAGAGACCTAGGCTTTCCAACTTTTTATTGTGTAAACAACATTTAAAAACAAACAAAAACCTAGCTACCTCCTATTAACACCATCATTCCATAGTAGAAAGTTAGAAAGACAGATTATGAGAAAAGCAGTCTTCAACTTAAATTTATTTCACATATTGCTGAGGCTGGTGACAACTTTGGTCCAGCATTGGTCCAGCATTGGTCCATAGACTAGCATTTGGGAACCACTAAGCTATGTCACATGCCATGAAGACTAGTCCATCAGAAAGCAGACTCACTATAAAATCTAACCAGAAATTCCAACCACCAACATCAAGTCAACTGACAACTGGCCTAATGCCATTAAATTATGTGTTTGCAGTTGAA